CCCTGATTCGTTTTGCTGAATATCTGGAATACTTTCCAGCATTTCCTGCCATGCAAGTCCGAAATCTCCAACTTGGTTTGGTTGGAAAACGAATCGTTTTTCATTGCGTTCCGCTGTTTTCCAGTATCCACTTTGCTCTAATTTTTGGGTTTCAACAAAATTTTTCGAAGAGCAAATTATTCCATGAACTGGAACTGATACCGCTTGATCATTGCAGTTGAAATCCCGAATCAAACGGATAAATGTTGTATGTTTTTCCATATCTTTGACAAGATTAGCCTCTTTGACCCGTGCTATGTTTTTGACGTTTAGGACAAACACTCCTTTACATGAATCGATTACGACAACATCAATTTCAACTTTGGCTTCTTTAGAGCTGAAATGGGTGCCATCAACATTGGGGAAAATGAGAGTTCCGCTTGGCAGTGATAAACTATTGAGACCCGTCAGTTTTTTGTAGATTGCAATCTCGCCAGCCTCCCCTCTCTGTATTGTCCTGTAGCGGTTAACCATGTTCTTTGTCATTTCTGAGTCACGGAGAAATACCCGGGGAACCCTCGCAACAGGAATTGCAGTTACGCAGCCGCGAGTGTTCCAGTTTGGACTTTGATCAGCAAGATATCTCGCCAAAGCGTCGTCTTCTGTCATAGATATCTCGGCGCTTCCTGGTAGATGAAACTTTAAAGCGTTCAATTCTTCGTTGAATGTCATTTTGATTGGAAATAATGATTTCTTGTAACAGCTGTGAGTTGCTACAAGTACAAAACAATCGGCTCATTCAGACTGCAAGATATTGATTTGACTGTATTTTTCAAAGAAACGAACAAATTACTTGCGCCGTTTTTAATGTACAATGAAATGAACAACATGCATATGGTGCATGACTGTTGGTAACGTGCCGTCTGTTAAATGCATGTTTAAAACTCAAATAGTATTCATTTCATAGTCTTAATTGTGTGTTGGTTACTCAAGTAGTCAGATTAGTTACTGAACAACGCGAGTATAAAATTTTATTTAATCAATCAGTTTGGGCGTTTTGAACAAAATCTTGTGAAGATAATATTTTAATAGAAAAAACTTAAATAGTTGCGCCGGGCAAGACGCTAGCTAGGACTAAAGAGTCCATTTGGTACTACTATGATAGAGTGGTCCCTTGAAAATAACCAGGTCCCTTGAGAGTAAGACACCTAGAGCTCTCAAATCGTTTAATAATTATGATTACGCCTTTCAGAAAGATGTCGCAGTATATTTTCAAACAAATTTCATGTTTCGTTACCTCTTAAAACCTCCCCCTCCCCATTTTAAGGTTGAAACTTAAAAAAACCGCAAATTGTGGGTTTTGATGACAAATAGGTCGACCCAATTATATGGTTGTTAAACCGTAAAATAAAGTAAAGCGAGCAAATTTCAATATGTAAACATTAGTGATTACAATTTTCAATCTGAAAAGTTTCTGGCTGAACATACTTTGCAAGATTTTTGAAATGAATAATTTAAAAAATAAAATAGATGATTTACTGATGCAGGTTGCCTTTTTGGACTCGCGGTTGGTGACAAAATGAGAGATTTTATTTAAAAACCCATTTTAAAATGTCCATTTTGTACTTTCAGATTGTACAAACCTAATCGCTGCGCTGAAATACAAAAGAATAAAAAATTCAAAAGAAGGAAAAATTTTGAAAGAATCAAAATTTCAGAGAAACTGACGTGAATTCTAAAGACTTTTTTTAACCATTTTTGTGGGCACCGTTTGGAGACTTGACTTTACAATTAAAAGTAGATAACACGCGAGCCAATTTTACCAAAAATCTAAGCTTACCGAAAACTTGACCACCTGGGCAATCTGGCAGAAAAGGCCATCAAATGAAAGATTTACAGTTTTTGAAACAAATGTCGTCTAGTTTTATGCATGCAGAAGTGAAAAACAGTATTAACAAAATTCAGCATAAACACTTTTCAAGGTGGATTTAGCTAAACCATCATAGTTGCTGAACAAATAAAGGATCGCCACGAGAAGTAAACGTCAACTTTAAGCGCCTGTTCTGGGGCATGTGTTTGAATTTTGTTGAAAAAAAATTGTTTTAAGATCCAAAAAATCACTTGCTAAAATCGACAAAATGTTTTAAAAAGTAGCATTTCCACCTAGAGGTAAATAACAACGCTTGAACCTTTTTTTGAACATTCACAATCACTATTCATTTTTTTTATTACACCAAGCAAACGAACAAGTCGTTTTCTCAGCAGCTATTTAAAATTTGGGATTGAAATTTTGACGAATGGTAGATAAAACTCTTTGAAATGACAAAATCAGGCGAATTTGGTTTCGAAGGCGTAAAAAAGAGGTTTATTAGAACTTTTTTTAAGCGTTTTTGCTGTGAAGATGAAGTGAGCTAAATTGGGAAGCTGATGAGCGAGACTTACTCTTATACCCCTGAAAAAGGACAAACAACAGCGCTGAGAGAGCTACTTGGTACGGAGTCAAAAAACGATAATTTTTGTTTGACCACACAGTCATTAAAAGTTCTTGGGCGCCTAAGCCAGAAAGTTGGACAAAAGTTACAGACAAAATAACTTGTAATGAGATTCCTGCGCAAAGATCGGAGTGGTAAAACTAACCAAATTATTTGCTGGAACAAATTTTTTGGCTTATTTAGATAATCATTTTTGCGCCGATGAGCAAAATACGCCAACTAAACAGGTGGTCAGCAAATAATTTTGAGCTGTTCATAACATTCAGTCGTTTTTCGACTTCTATCCAAGTAACTCTTTCATTTTTGGTCTGTAGTTTTTCGGCGGTATCAAGACTCAATCAAGCTCATCAGCTTCCCAAAGAAACTTCATATTTTGTTTGCCAGGATGTTTCCACAACAAGAAGACCAGCAGAACTATTTGATTTGATTGATTTATATTTGGAGGCAACGCTTTATTTTTGATTTTTTAAGTTTTTTCATTCTTTGACCAACAAACAGGGGAAGAGTCGAATCAAGATCTTTTTTCTGGACATTTCAATTGAAATTGATTTTTTTGATTATTTGATTTATGGTCACTAACGAAGGTTACATCTAGTTGGACAGAAAACCAATTAAGTGAACACATAATATTTGTAAAATGAATAAATTTCTCAAAAAAGACGGTTATTTTCACGATCCATCCGATTAGTCGAAGTTTCAGCCTGGTTTCTAACTGATACAAGCATTGCTTTTGATAATTAAATCACTATGAAACACACGTCTTAGCTCAATTTGAATCAATTCTTGTCGAATGTCGGATGTTTTGACAAAAAAAAAGAAAAAATTTAGATCTTTATGCAAAAAATTGGTTGGATTGTTTTAACATGATACCATTAATAAACAGTTTGGTTGTTATTTTACCTCTACACATATTATAAGAAAGATTTCTTACAAAAAACAGAAGCCGCGTTAAAAAATCAGCCAAAATGAAAACTTATTCAAAACTTGATTTCTGCAATTTCTCCAAAAACTTTTCACGACAAAAAAGAACTTAAACTTACCGTCTGAAATTTACCATCCGAAGCTTTGAAATTCATCCTGAGATAATGGGATTTTTTTCCTATCTTATAGCATGAAGTCTTTGGTGTATAGGATCTTAAGCATTGCTGGATCGGCGAAATTGGGCGCCAAAATACCCACCATCTGAAACTTACCATCGGAATCTTGCCATCTGAAACCTATAACCTCTCTTAAAAGAGAGAAACCTGTCACCTCATCTTAAACATATCTTAAAACATGGGAAATCTATTCACTGTCTTAATAAATAGGGTGAAAACCGGATACTCTATAGCGTATCTAAATACATGGGGTATTCATCCCCCGGGCTTGAGGTGCTCCAACATATACTACTATCCCGAAAGTCTGTATTCTAATTTGGTAATGCTTTTTTTTGATAACGCCCAATTCCATTTTGACAACAAGTTATAGTTAGTGACTGTTGTTACTGCATGCGTTGCAACAGTCAAAAAATGAACAGAACAATTAAATGGCAAGCATCTAACACTTACATTGAAAATCTCTTACACTAAAATGATCTCTTTCTAAAGGCTTTTGATATCATCTGCATGAATTGACCGCTTCAGAGAGATACCTATGTTATCCGGCCAAATTTATCAATGAATAACAATCGTGTAATAGCCTTCGTTTTAGATTAGCTAAGATTTGAATTCAATCCAAAATTAGGAGGTCTTCAGTTACAAAAGGCATCTCCTTTTTTTCGTCGAATGAAAGTTCGACAAAAAGAAATTAAAGTGTTTCAACGTACCGACGGACAAAGACAGCAACATCAACAATTTTGACCATTCAAAGCCAACATTCAAGCTAATGATGAGATCAATCTTCACAGGATTTTTGCCGTGTTGTTTTTCTTAGAGGTATGAGCCGAACTAATAATGATTTAAAAAACGCATTTCAAGTTACTGGTTGACTCAAGAGAATGGTTTCAGGCCGCTGATTGACTCAAATTTCTCGTAAGAATTTGAATTCCACTAAAACCCGGGAAAAATTTTCAAAAAACTGTCGTGGAAACATTTTACGTCAAAAAATTATCATTTCTAAGATTTCAAGAATCCTATGACCTGTTGGTTGGGTATTATGAGAACTTACTGATGATTGTGACTTTTCGGCGAGCGCTGATTTTGAAAAGACATAGGAATCGTTGGATATAGTACAATTTCATCTGGTTATATTAAATTAAAAACTAAATACATCTAATTGATTCAAGAAACTAGCACTAAGGAACCATTCCCAATTTAGACCTCAACTTTTGTTTTCGGATCATTAAGACTTTCGTCGTAAGCTTTAGATCCAAACTTTTATTTAAGCTTTAAGAAACAGCCTGTACCCAATAAACAAATTTTGTCGTAAAAAGTAAATGATCTCCCCTTCTGAATGATCTGTCCCCAGAAATAAAAGATCTCACCCGCATCCCCCCACACTCACTACCAGAATATAAGAAATCAACACGGAAAAAAAACTGAGCATTTTATGTCGAGATTGTTCAAATGGTCTCACCGAGGTCAATAATGGGGAAATATTCCAAAGACAAAATAACTCAAATAAATCAGAATTTTGAATTTATTTCATCTAGAGCCAATTGTTTTAGAGAGTCGATGCACGTTTTCGCGTGATCATTTTGGCCTGTGAAGTAGCTTTTCCAAATCCCAACTTCATGAGGAACATGTAGGATAAAAGACCTGAAATAAAAGTTATTATACTTAGCAGAAGTTACAGATAGCTTGGAGGTAGAAAAAAACTAATACTCTACTTTTGCAGAGATAGCTAGAGCTCTTTGCCAGTAATTTGTAACGATTTTCGATATTATTGCAAAAATGTTTTTATTAAAAACTTCATTACATTGGCGAAGCAGAGTTTCGCATCACCTGCGAAGCGGAAACTTCAAAATATAAAGAACTTTGATACATTCAGACAGGCGCCGACCAAAAATTTTCGTAAGGGGCGGATTTTTTTAAATAAGTCCAAAAAATTTGTCCACTTTTTTTGAGGTTGACCAGATTGCCTTTTCGAGCTTTTTCAAAACTATATGAGAATTTAAAACTTTATTAACTTGCAGTCAAAGTTTTGGAAAAACAGGCCCAAAAACAACGTTTTCGGGTATTTTTTGAACGGCTGTAACCAAAAATTGCGTTTTTTGGCGCGCGCTCCACTTAAAATTAGTATATATTCAGGGGCGGGTTTAGGGGGGGGGGGAGGGCGGAGGCTTCCCTTCCCTCAGGGATTCGAACCCCTGCCGACCCAAGGGGTCCCCTTTATACTATTTTGGGCTGACGGACCCAAAAGTTTTTCTAAAGGCGCCTTTGGCGCCAATATATACTGATTTAAGGGGGGAGAGCGCTAAAAAATTGCGATTTTTTGTAAAAACTTTCCAAAAAGTAAAAGTGCCTTAAAACGCTATTTTTGGCATATTTTTTCAAAATTTTGCCTGTGGCGCAGAAGTTTCGACCAAAACAGGTTTTCCTCGGTGATTATACGGTTTGTTTTAACATAAGATCGAAAAATGTTTTTTAACGAAATCTATTTTTGGCGGACCGACTTCCAATATATAATATATTGGAAGTCGGTCCGCCAAAAATTTATTTCGTAAGATAACATCAAACAAGGGAATTAAATGCCAACTTTTTTTCTCTAAAGATTTCACTTGAAACAAAAATTCTCTTTGATAAAAACGTATATATATATATCTAAAGCGTCATTTTACCTTAAAGTAGAATTGGAAAGCCGCAAAAAAGCCGACACACACTTGAACACTTGAAAAAATATGAGCTGAGATTGAAATAGAAAAAAAATTTTGAGGTCTTTAAAATACGTGTTAACACCGAAACTTTAGTTTCTAACTTTTGAAACTTTAGTTTGAACAAAATAATCATTTTCCGAGCTCTACCAGATCACTATAAAGATTATTTTGACCAAATTTTCTGCTTCGCAAGCAAATTTTTGTAAAATGAAGACATTTTTACGCACTTTTTTGGAAGGTCTCCCCCCTCCTTAAGCGTCTCTTCTCAAAACTAATGTTTTTTGGCGTCCCTCATAAATCCGCTACTGCCAATAGTAAAAATTTGGTAACTATTCCCAACTCTGAGCACTTGACAAAACAAAAAATACATATAAAGAGCACCTGAGGTGTCGATTCCATCATCTAGGAGACGATATATTTTTAATGGTTTTAGAAACTCCTACAAAAAAAACCCAAACGGACCAGACTGACTCAATTGTTCCGACTATTTTTGAAGAAAGTGACGAATTATTTGGACTTGGGGTGGTTTTTTCTCCAGACAAACTTAGGCTTTTCAACTAGCAGTTTTTGATATAATATTTTGTGTCATTTGAAAAGGTACTGTTGTTTTGAGCTTGAGTTTAAAGTGAATATTTTACCGGTGATAAAATTTTTGAAGGTTATGGGTGTTTAAACATTGCCAACTTGGCAAATGCGGGACAACTAAAGTCTTAGAAATTGTTCTAACTTGAGTTGAGGCATAACATATAGTCCATTTAACATTTATGCATTCGAGAAAATATCATCTCGTACTTCACATAGCGTGTGCTGCGTGATTTTTGCGACAAATCTTGAAAAAAAGTCCATTTTTTGTAAATTTCAATTTTGTTAAAGCGAAAACTACTATATCGACCTTAAAAGGCAGTCGGATTATTCACCGCTTCGTCCTGATACGAGTAGTCTTGTTCTTCTGCTCAAGAGAATCAAAGGCCTTGGGATTGTTCTATTGACGTTTATGAATCAAGAATTTGGCAAAAAAACTTATCTGATGAAGTGACGATTTCACTAATTGAAAACAACCGAAACCACGCCTGCAGAAGAAAAAAGACAACTAAAAACAGACCGGCTTAGGTTTTTTAGCTAGTCTTTTTCGATGGAACTTTTTTACATCATCTGAAAAGAACTGGTGTCTTGAGTTCACATTTAAAATGATTTTTTAACCATAATAAAATTTTGTAAGAAGTTACGAGGGTTTAAAAATTGCCAATTTGGGATACAAAGCGCGCAACTTTTTTGGCAGTATTAAAGCGGCTAATTCGTTCCAGAACAAACTGAAGCAGGCAGTTTGATTTTTTATTGCGTTATCAGGCCCAGCATATGTCATTTTGTCCTTTGAATAGGGTAAGTGAAATAAAATGGAAAAAAAGCATCAAAAAATTAGGATTTTTTTCCGATCAGGCAACCAATTTTCGACAAAAAGATTCTTTGGCTTTACGCGGCCTTAGAAACATTCAGGGCTACGCTCTGATACAATCAGACTTGTTTCTAGTTGAAATTGTCTGTTTCAATTCATACGACGAAAAAACTGTTAGTTATACCATTTCACGCTTTTTCATTGGGAAACAATTTTTGTATTTATTGAACAAAATACATTTTTTCTATCAAACTTTACAGCACGCACTTTTTCTACACTCTCGAAAAAAATAAAAAGTTTTCTTCTTTACTTTTTGTCAAAAAAAATTGTATGGAAACAGTATAAGCAATTTTTTATATCAGGAAATTGTAAAAATGCATCTTTTATACTATGAAATTATAAATTTAGATTGTTTTCATAAAAGGATATTATTGTTTTGTGTTTTATCTGGAGTCGCAGTGAATTCCGTTTTGAACTTTTGTGACTTGCCTTGAGTTCCGTTTTGAAGTTTTTTTTTATCCGTAAACAAAAACACCAAGTATTTCATAATGAGAAAACACAGAGCTTATGTGGCAATTACCACACGCATAAACTGAAGCTCTTGATTTGACAAACACACTTATGTTGTCACTTAAGCACAAAATCAGGCACAGAATCAGGCACAAAAAAATTGTCTTTGAAAACTTCAGTGGTTCAGAAAAGTGGCCTTTTTTACAGTTTAGCTTACAAAAAACACCATTCTGCTTATACGAAAAATTTTGTTTGTAGTTTTTAGATTTCTTATGGCGAGGTTAATTCTGTCATAGACCCAAAAAACAGCTGAGGGTTTATTGAAGCGCAGAAACGAGTTTGCAATAAAAAATGAGATAATATTGTTTTGTTCAATTTAGTATTTTTTCTGTTTAAAAAGGCATATCAAAACCAAAAATTTTATGACAACCGTTTTTTGCTCTAACAAAAAAATGTGATGCCAAAAATGCTCTTATGTACCAAAATCTAACAGAAGCTTCAATTGTTTGTGTTTTAAACCAATTTTGGATAACTTTTGATTAAAAAAATGCTTGTCATACTATACTTTTTTCTATGGTTATCGTAAAGACTCCAAAAATGTTTTATTTAATGCATTTTTTAACCCAGTTTGCCGTCGTTTTAGATATCTAATATTTTCATTTTGTTCTTTGACGTTATATCCGCCCGCACCGAAGTTTCTTCGATTATTATCTATTATCTGGCGATTTTATGGTCGAACAAAAAATTATTCTCTTAATAATCAATTATCTGGTGATTTTACACGACTTGGTGGTTTATCAGATAAAGTTACTTTTACCAAATAGATTTACCAGATAGAGTAACTTTATCTGGTGATTATCTGGTGAATTTTGAATTCGATTGAAAACAAAAAAATGGGCAACTTCAACTTTTTTAGATTCTTAGTTGCCTGAGCATGAAAATGAAAGATTATTAACAAAAGAAACCTTTTAATTAATTTTGAACAGAGTTTCAAATTTTGTCATGTGTCTTTTTACGTGCTTAATTACAGACCGCACTCTCTGTAGACCGCAACCTCTATCCCGGCGGAACTCAAAATAATCAATTTGATTTGAATGGGCGGGATGAGCGGCAGGTATGAAAAATGTTTTAACCCAACAAAAAGGACCTCATAAATTTGTTTGATTTGCATTGTACTGTAGTATTGCGAAATACTACACACACACAAAAGACCATTGTCTTAATTGTTTATTTAACGACCCAATTCTAAATTGGAGCGTGCCATTTAAATTAAAGCCTCTTTTCACTAAATCAGATATTGACTGATTTACTCTTATTAGGACTATAAAATCTTGTTTTGAAAATCCACTCCTTTTTAAATACTTGTCCAATTTTTCTCATTTTTTCATGCTCAATATTTTAAAAGGGCGGCGATTATTAATACGTCCCTTTTAACTTAACTTGAAACAAACTGGATAAATATTTAGCAGTCTTGCCGGCTGCACTGAAATTCTCCTTGCTTTGATTAAGCAGAGGTGCACCTGCAATATGATGCATCAGAGAGAGTAATATGAATTTTTAATAAGACAAACTGAAGGCTGCGGTTTTTATCAAAGGGGACTAATAAGTTGAAGATATTTGATTTGAAAAAATTAAATAAAAACTAGTTGAAAATTCCCTTATTAAAAAGGGAGAACAAAGGAGCAGGTGAAACCTGAATAATTAAAGATTGAATCAGCCGCCGGTTTATGCTTATGAGCAAAAGGACTGGCCTGAAATCTTCAGTGTTTCGTTTTGCTCAGTCAGCAGCAAGTTAGATATCTTCAGTTAGACCTTTTCAAAAAATAAATAATTTTCCTTTTCTGTATTTACAGTAAAATTAAACTAGTCTTTTTTCACAAATAAAACAGAGAATAAATTCTCATTTCAAGTTCGATAAAATTATAAAACGAGATACTCGAGATAACCCTATCTGAGGAAGTCTGGACTACAAGTACCCAAAGGACTACGGCAAGACGATTCAGACGACCCAACCAGAAGGGCTGACTTGGACAAAATCAAGGGCAACCATACATACAAATCAGCCACCGACCTTAGTAAGAAGATAAAATATTGATGAACAAAATAAGATTAGCTCAACCTCCCCTCATAGGTATATTTCTTTATGCTGTTCGGTTCATTTATATAATCTAATAACCCAGTGCTTTGTATCTAACCAACTAATTAATTCAGACCTTTTCTAACTATTGTTTCTACTCTACTTTTTGTCAAGACAATTTGACGATTTAAGGTGAGACTTATAACTTAGGATAAAATTACTAAGCATTCAACCAGCAATGAGCGCTTAGTAAAGTACTGCAATGGGTAAGTTGAATAGTGTATCTTAGAATAAGTTTTAAAAGCATTTTTTGTTGATGAAAGTCATCTCTTATGCCAGCTGCTAATCCGACCCATTATTTGATTTGGTGGAAACCAAATCAAAGAGCTGGGTCCAGTGAATTATTTTTGCTCTCAAACTAATTGGGAACCAAAAGTTTCAGATTTTACCAAAAGTTTTTGCCCAATATCTGATTTACATTGATAGTTTCTTAATATTTTTATAGCATGTTTTTGTGCGCAAAGTTTTGTTTATATTGATGATTTTCATAATTTGTGTCGTTTGGTTTGAATGGAGATAAAAATCAATTTTTTAGACATTATCATCCATTTTCTTGACAACATAATCGATTTTTTGTGTCCTAGAATTTTTTGCATTTTTATGGCAATAGCAAAAGTTTTGTTGCAATTTTATAGCAGTTTTATGGCAAAAACAAGCGATTTCGTGACAATTTCAGGGCGAAAAAATAGATTTAGTTAAGATTATGTGGAGATAAGAATAGATTTTAGTGGAATTATAGTGCAATATAATCTTCATAAAAATAATCTATTTTCTTTCTATTATAATAGAAAATGTTGCCTAAATTGGTTACACATAATCGCTTATAATGGCAACATTTTCGGCAACATTTTCTCAATATAATCTATTTTTATCCGAGAAACTTCGGTGCGGGCGGCACTTTGTATAAAATGATCCCAGTGTTTATAACTAGCTTAAATTTTTAAGATTGTTTTGCTTATGTTATTTGTGACAGTAGAATCAAACGATGAGATACAACATGAGCCAAAAAACTTAAAATTTGCACAATATTTAGATACAGCAAATTGTAACCAAAAGAGAAGACATTTGAATTGATGAGAACGGCGTTATTCTACACGACTAAAAAAACATTTAATTGAACTTTTAAACTTCGAGTTTGAGAACCCAATTAGGACCAAAAAATCCCTCTATCTTTCACAACAACTTTAAAAGTCAAATCCAACAAGCACATAGAAAAAAAGAGAGGTTAAGCTTTTTTATAAGACGTTTGACATATACAGCGTGGTGAGCTTCTATTTCAACACAAATCTCTCAAAAAGTTTTCACTAGTTGTTTTAGAATGAACCTAATCTATGAAAACAAAAAACCACAAACCGTCTGAAACAATTACCTTTTTCCCCAGATAACCTAAATTATAGTAAAAATTATTATTCTTTTATGTAGATTATTATAATGATTTTGATTTTTATGACGAGTACAAGTGTTCATTGCAAATTTCGTTATCATTAATTGTTTGTTACAAAAGTTATTTATATCATATTAATATTACAAAACAAGACTTTTGGATGGCAATCAGCCTTAAAAAATCCAACCTGTCAAATCTTGCTTTTAAAGGGGCGTAAAATCTAGACTGGCGTTATGCGAACTGATCTATAAATTAGATTATACTAACTGAGGTAGCACCATGAATTGAAGAGAGACTTGTCTCCACAGACGGAATAGCCACATGCTGCGATTCCAGCCATAGCCACTAAAACGCTCGTCAAATGCCACCAGGTGAGATTTGCGGGCAACTAAAACAATAGGTGATTAGGAACATAATTGCCAAATAACCAATAAAAATTTCATTGCATTCATAAAATATCCCGTTGCGACGCGGATAGCTGCTAGGTTGAGTTTTCGGAAAATCTGACAGCCAAAAAGATTTAAGCTTTATCACTCATTTTGGGCATTTTGTCTACGTCTGAAGATCACACTATTGTGAAAAGCAAACCAGACCGTTTTTTTCTCAACACCGAGTTATTTTCAAATGGAATTTCTATAATTTTTATGGCAGCTAATTTAAAAAGAAGTGTTAAGAATGACACCTAAAAAGAAGTGTTAAGAAGTGATCACCTAAAAAGAAGGGTTAAGAAAAGAAATTTTAATTGTAATGGATCTTGTTAACTATTTCCCTTCCCCCTATGGTACCTTGTAACGAATAATTAACGAATAATAGTTAACAAGATCCAGAAAAACACCCAAACAAATTTAATTAAAAACACTAAAAACAAGACTGCTCGTATATCAGGGCAAAGCTCTTAATTCATATCGAATAGTATTTGGAAAAAGAAAATATTGAAAATCTATACATTCTGGTCTTTTTTCGGATGCAATACTATCAGGTCTTTTCGGGTCTCTTATACCTTCTAAATGAACAAATTTGGTAGTTCAAATTTCGAGTAGAAACTGAAAGCGCGAAAGCGAGTTAAAGTAAATACCACTCGCGTGCAATAAGCAGCAGCTCGATTAGGAAACCTAGTGATAAGTTTGACATGAACTTCTGTTTCCTAATCAAGCAGCTGCTAATTGCACGCAAGTGGTGCTTAATTGTTTGTTTCACTCGCTTTCGCGCTTTTTATTTCAACTCGAAACTTGAATTGCCAAATTTTTTGTTCCGTTTTTCGAAAAGAAAGTGACGAATATTTGTGCTCGGGGTGGGTTTTTTTCTTTAGACAAATTTCGACTTTTTAACTAGCCGTTTTTGACGGAATTTTTTATCATCCAAAAGCTATTGCTGTCCTGAGCTTAAATTTGAGAAGATATTTCACCTGTGATCATTTTTTGTAAAGTTATGGGGGTTTAAAGATTACCATTTTGGCCAATTTGGGATAATTAACACGGGATATATTTCGCGCTATTAACGCGTAAGCGAGAATTAATCCGTCTTAGAAATCGTTCCAAATTGGTTCAACGAAGCTTATATGTCATAATTGATTTGTTAATAGGAGCAAAATCCATCACTTTGTACTTAATATGACGTGTGGGTGGATGTTCTCACAAAAAATCTCAAATTTTTTTAAAAGTTTTATTTTAAATTTATTTTATTAAGTTTAAATTTTTTAAATGTTATTACTGCTCCATAGACCTTAAAAAGCAGTGGGAACATTCAGGGTTTCGCCCTGATACGAGCAGTCTTGTTCATTTAGAGGGTCATAACCGAAAAAACCCCATTTTGGACGATATTAAAGTGTAAAAATTTGAGTCGTAAGAAATTATTACGACCAATTATAATTAGTAGCAAAAAAACTTGGACAGACAGAATTAAGTAAAATGAGCAATCAGGGCTTTTCGACGCTTTTTTGCAGGCAAAATCTGAAGCCGCACAATCTTGAACTTTTTGTCAGACCAAGCTCGAAATGCAAAATTGTCGATTATCCGATGATTATGGTGGCCTAACTTTTAAATACTGCGTTGAACATCCAGATTACTATAAATAAGTTAGCAAATTTAGTTAAAAAGTTTGAGTTATTTTCTACAAAAAAAACAGAACAGACCCCCCCCCCCAAAAAAAAACGTAAACAAGAAGATTATCAAATCATTCAAAATTTGGAAACTAATCGCAGAGAAACATTAGCCACCCTGAGCAATAATTTTCCTGTGTCAAGGTTTACTATTCGCCGCTTCGGATGCAATTTCCCGCCGTGTTAATCAAATTTGAGCGATACTCTGCTTTATGAACTTTCGACGTTATGTTTATTTCAGTTTTAATTTCCGTTGATGTCTAGACAGTTGCTCTTTTTAATTAATTCTGGCTGTCCGACTTTTTTGCAACTCTTTATAGCTAGCCTCAATTCTTTTTGGAAGATTTTTTTTTGTGCGGGATAATTTGCCACGCATAAATAATTGGCGTTACGCTCTCAGCATTATGAATAAGCTCTTCAAAGCGCACGTAATTTAGTCCAGAAAATGGCAAATTTTAAAACCCCAGAACTTTACAAAAAAATATCGGAGGTAAAATATCTTTTTACATTTGAAATTAGGAAGTCTATATCTTCAATGGGGTATAAAAAATTTTTTGTTGAAAACTATTATTTTGATCGGTGAAAATTGGCTGAATAAAAAAACCACACCGAGCGTAAATTCCTTTTTTTTTCAAAAGTCGTAACAATAAATTAAATAACTTCTACGCCATACTTACTTATGTAGGGTTCATAGTTCATCTGATATTGCACTTCATAAACCTTTTTTGAATCCACCCATTGGATATAGTCCGTGTTCTTCTGGCCTTCCCTCCATTTCGTCCTCAAAAAAGGCTCCACAAACCCATTGGCCCAATCAGACAACAATTCAGATTTGTTCCTCGGAATGGAATAGTTCTCATATCTGGCTGCAATGATTCCAAACGCAGGAACCACATAAGCCTGTTTAACTAGATTCGGTCCACTATCCGAAATCTCCAGCAGCTGAAGATGCGGCTGAATGGTGTCGTAAAGTAGTGGGGAAAAAATGAAGTCAACGTCAACAATGAAAACATAAGGAGAGCTTTCCGGAGAGTTGTTCAGAGCGACGTTGCGTAAAAAGTTTACAGGATATGGTCTTCCGGGGATTTCGTACACTGAAACATTAGATTTGTGGGAACTTTTTTTCATAGTTCCGGACAGTAGTGGATTTGAGAGGGGCTTTTTTAAAAGAAGACTTGGCGCTAAAGTTTTTAGAAGAGGACCTAAAAAATAGTCATCAAAATTGTTTTAAAGATTTAACCCTCCCCCCTCGCCCCACCCCCCCCCCCCCCTTCTTTCGAGAAAATCCCCTGACTGTACCTATGGCTCCAAAACACTGAATCATTTCACATTTCACACGATCTACGCTGTAAAAACAATGGACGCTTTCGACATGCTTTTTCAAGACTGAGCGCTGGCTTAAGGTTTTCTCGATCAATGTAAAGGCCGAAAGCTCGAGGTCGCTAAAATCCGTGCTCGTTACTTCAGTAGAAAAAAGCATTAGATTTTAGCCTAGAAATTAAACCAAAGCCAAAAGTTCCGAATAAGGGGCTCAACCTGGCTTCTCAATATAAATATTCGCAGCTGGTTTTTTGTACTTGCCTTTGTGAAGCTGATGGTCGTAGTAACCAAAGGATGTCCCCACCTCCCCATTTTTGTTATGATTTGTTGCAGCTTATCATGGCAACTGTTTTAATGGGCCAGTACAAAATTTGTTTGTTATGCTTCGGACCTTTTTTCCTTGTCTGGTCAAAATTAAAAAAAAAACTTTGATGTCAGTATTCCGCTGGATGCATTCCTCCATTTTCTTGAAATTTAGAAAAAAAAATTATGCTAATTGGGATCTTTTATGTGGCGAATGGGTCGAAATCTTACGAGATTTGGCTCTAAATGTTAAGATTCAGAGTTAGAGCAAGTAGGACTAGGGGATAGAGGTTTGAGAGTTATCTGAGATTTCAACTGAGGAGAGAGAAGAGATACTGATTGTTGAAGAATGAATTGAGATTGTGTTTATAAAATGACACGACAAACTGAGCATCAAATAGTACCAGTTAATTAATTACCAGTTAATTAATTAGTTTATCAAATACCAGCAGACCAGTTGACCTTGTCTGAGTGCATTGAGTTTTATACCAGTTGACCTTTAATTAGGTTTCTATTGCTCAAGTCTGACCTTGAGTTTGGTCTGGTATTTCACTAGTCTGGCATTGAGCTCGTCTGTCCTCAACACCCCCACTCAGGCTGAATTGGCTTTGTCCAATGTCAGGCTGCAACCCATCAGCGTTCGACGATGTTGATCCACCTTTGCCTTGCTCAGGGATTTCGTCAACAAGTCAGCCTCCATGTTTTCGGTTGGACAGTACTCGAGCGCAAATGTTCCATCCTCGACCCGCTCTCGGACAAAGTGATACTTGACATCAATGTGCTTTGTACGCTTCTGCATTACGGGATTTTTGCACATCTTGATGCAGCTCTGGTTGTCCTCGTTGATCACAGTTGGACCATCACACGTCATATCCATCTCATTGAGTAGGGATCGTAAGTAGAGGCCTTCCTGAACAGCCGCTGCCATTGCTTGATACTCAGCTTCGCTGGTAGATATTGCTGCAGTAGGTTGCTTCTTGGTACTCCAGCTGATTGCTGCTCCTGACCGCTGCACATGAAAACTGTAGCCTGTTGTTGACCTTCTGTCATCAACGTCACCAGCCCAGTCAGCATCTGCTGAACCATAAAGGTTGAACCCATCAGGATCTTTGATGTAGCACAGCTCCAGATCTTTGGTTCCTTTCAGGTATCGCAGTACTCTCTTAGCAGCCACCCAGTGTGTTCTCCCAGGATTCTCCAGAAACCGTGAAAGTTGAGTCACAGTAGCTAGGATGTCTGGCCTCGTTTGCTTGGCTATGTACAATAACGAGCCCACTATGCCTCTGTAGTCCTCACGCTGCATTGCCACTGCTTCTTCTGAGCCCGCTCCAGGGCAGTCCTTCTTCGTCAACTGAGTGCTGATATCAGCTGGTGTCCCTACTGGTTTGCAGTCAGCCAACCCAAAGCGCTCCAAGCAGTCTTCAATGTAGCGAGACTGATTCACAGTGACAGAACCAGGTGCCCGTTTGACCTGCATTTTCAAAAACCAGGCTAATGGACCGCGATCATCCATCTTGAATCGGTCAGTGAATCGGTCCCTCACCCTGTCAACTTCTGCTTGCAGTTTGCAGCCAATGATGATATCATCCACCCATACTAGAACATAGATCATAGCATCATCCATTCCCCTCATCGTGAACAAACAGAAGTCATTGGTGCTTCGAGTGAAACCAGTCTCCAGAAGAAACGTGCTCAGCGTCTGGTACCAGTCCCTTCCTGCCTGCTTCAGCCTATAGATACTGCGTTGTAGCAAACACACTTGGTTGTCCCCGCTGCTGAACCCCTCGGGCTGTTCCATATACACAGTTTCTGTTAACGGCGAGTTGAGGAAGGCTGACTTCACGTCCATCTGATGAAGTACAAGATCATCTTGCGCTCCCAAAGCCAGTAGTATTCTCTTTGTTTCTGGTTTACAGGTTGGCGCAAAGGTCTCATTGAAGTCCAGTCCTTCCACTTGCATAAAACCCTTCACCACGTATCTGGCTTTAAACCGCTCCACTTGTCCCATTGCACCTCTCTTCACAGCAAGCACCCAGCGTCCAGGAATGACCTTGCGAGAATTTGGTCTATCAACAAGTGTCCAGGTGCCCATTGCCTTCAGTGACTGCACCTCCAAAGCCATAGCTGCTAGCCACTGCTCCCTTTCTGGTCCAGATACTGCCTCCAAGTAGCTTCTTGGCTCTTGTGCTATCACTGAAGCATGAGTGTAAGCCAGTCCGTATCGGATGGGAGGGTTCCGCGTTCTAGTTGACCGCTGCTCTGGAATCTCTGTTGGCCTCTGCTCTGGAGGCTCTGTGGAAGGTGGTTCCAATTCTTCAGTCTCGACTGGGTCATCTTCCGTAACCCCCACTGAAGCTGCTGCTCCACTATCATTCGCTTTATTGGTAGACTCAGTGATGGTCTTCGTGCTAGTTTCCTCTACATCAATGCATCCCTCGATTGATAGACCCAGTGTTTGTGACTGCTCACTGTCTACCAGAAAGTCGTCTGGAATGATGTCTTCATTGAACGTCACGCTTCTTGCTCGTACCACTCGCTTTGTCTCCAGGTCCATCAGCAAGTAGGCTTTGCTCTCCTCGTCATAACCAATGAACTTGCTCTTCTTGCCTTTCGGATCCAGTTTCCGCCGGTTTCCTCTGTCCAGGTAGTACGCCAGGCATCCAAACACTCGCAGGTAGTTGACTTTCGATGGCTTCCCATAATGCATCTCCATTGATGAAATGCGATGCTCATTGCTGGATGTAGGACACAAGTTGCGAACCCTGACTGCCGTTGACATTGCTCGTACCCAGAACATCTTTGAGAGCTTTGCATCGGCCAGTAGACATCGAGTCATCTCAGTTATCACCCTGTTGTACCTCTCTGCCACGCCATTCTGTTGCGGAGTATTAGGTACTGTAAACTCCTGTTTCACCTGCATTTCTCTACAGAACATCCGAAAAGCATTCGACGAATACTCACCTCCGTTGTCAGTTCTCAAGCACTTCGGTGTTCCGTGCTCAGCTACAAAGTCTTTGAACTTCGAAAGAGTATCGCTCTTCTTAACCAGGTACTTGACCACTGCCAGACGGCTGAAGTCATCAATGAAGCTCACGGCATAGCGCGCTCCATGCATGCTCGCAACTTCAAATGGTCCCTGGATGTCGCTGAAGACCCGCTGCCCCACTGCAGTTGCCCTGTTCTCTGTCTTCTTTGGCATTGCTACTTCGTGCATCTTCGAAGCTGTGCACACTTCGCAGAACCCTAGCTCGCCGACATCAACAACTGATATTAGATCATGCTTGTTGAGATGCCCCAGCCTTCGGTGCCACAGCATTGCACTACTTGTCTCCATCTTCGCTTTCGTAGCTAGAGTCATCGCGTTCCTCTTGAACTTGCACTCCAGGAAGAAAAGCTTGCCGCGCTGCTTCACTGGTAGCCGTCGACCATCCGGTGCCACAAGATGAGAAGAGTCTGATGTAAAGCTGAAACTAGACCCTCTAGCTATTGCTGAGCTCACACTCATCAGATTCACGTTGTAGCTCGGCACAAACAGCACATTGTGGAAAGTGTAGCTCCTCGTCACATCTTGACAGTCTCGTATGTCCACTTCCACCGAGCCTATGCCCTCAATCTTTGATATTGTACCGTTCGGATTCTCAACTGTTGTCCCCTCATCCCATTTCTCAAAGCTTGAGAAGACAGCCTTGTCGCGCACTACATGATCGGTGCATCCCGTATCCACAATGAGATCATCTCCCTTCATTGAGGTTGTTGCACAACAACTGAAGAACCCTGTCTTTGCCTGCTTGCAGTCCCTTGCAAAGTGTCCTTGTTGTCCACACTTGAAGCACCCTTGCTTCCTTGAAGTTGGACCACTTGCTTCATTCGAGCCACTGCCTCGAGCACCAGATTGACCACTGTCACTTCTGGATCTGCAATCTCTTGCCAAATGACCCTTCTGACCGCACACAAAACAGCCACCACCCGACGCTCCTTTCTTCTTCCTCACAGCTTGCATAGCTATGTGTCCATTCCCAGTCTTCTCTCCACATCGAGCTCGTCTCGAGTCATCATAGTTCCTCAACCTCGTTCTCAGCTCTGTAAAAGTCTTGGCCGGCTGGAAGCTCTCCTGCACCACGAAATGCTCAAAGCTGTCAGGCAGTCCGTTGATCACGAGCGCATTGAAGAGTGTGTCCGTAATTGCTTCCCCAGCTTCACTCAGCCGCGTCATCAGCTCTTGACTTCGAACGAAGTAGTCATCGAGATCCTCCTCTGATCCTAGGCGCAGCTTCGCAAGCTGGCCTACTAGACTGACCCTTGTAGGCCTCTCCACACTGCAAAACTTCTCTTGCAGCAGTCTCCAGGCCTTCGTCCCATCGCCATAGCCATCCGCAGCCACGCAGTCGTTCTTGATGTACATCAGTGTGGTGTTGTTCAGGACCAGAGCTAGATGTGACCACACTGTGTTTCGGTTGTCTTTCCTCTGCTGGATCAGCACAGCTCGCTCCTGCATCTTGGTGTTGTACGCCGTCATCTGGTCAGCATTCGGATTCTCAGGTAGCGTAGGTTCAGCTTCTGGTAGATCGTCATTGCCCATCACAGTCCTGAACAGGCCTTTGGTATGCATCAGTGCCACAAACTTCGTCGACCAAGCTGGAAAATCTTCAGACTTTCCACTGAATCCAGCCAGTTTCAAGTCCATCTCTGCTTTGCTAAAGGCTAGATAAAAGCTAAAAAAAACTCTGACAGAAATCAAATAATTATTAAATCAAAAAGTTTAGAAATCTGGGCCCATAACCTGTTAAGATTCAGAGTTAGAGCAAGTAGGACTAGGGGATAGAGGTTTGAGAGTTATCTGAGATTTCAACTGAGGAGAGAGAAGAGATACTGATTGTTGAAGAATGAATTGAGATTGTGTTTATAAAATGACACGACAAACTGAGCATCAAATAGTACCAGTTAATTAATTACCAGTTAATTAATTAGTTTATCAAATACCAGCAGACCAGTTGACCTTGTCTGAGTGCATTGAGTTTTATACCAGTTGACCTTTAATTAGGTTTCTATTGCTCAAGTCTGACCTTGAGTTTGGTCTGGTATTTCACTAGTCTGGCATTGAGCTCGTCTGTCCTCAACACTAAAATCCAATCCAACCCGACCGCTCATTTCACTCTGTACTTACGTACCGACATGTAGAGCAATGTTGTTTCTCTGGCTCAAAGCTGTCGACTTTTCCCAGTTTCTAAAAAAGTTGATGACTTGTGATTCTGATATGTACAATGCTGCACTGATGCTTCTGTTCCACGACTTCGCAACCCGTTCAAATGCCTCAATTCTATCGAAGCTCAAATGTGTGAGAAGCGCAATCTGATTTGCTGAGTTATGATTTATCGGTGATTCTGAACTTGTGATTGGCTGTGATTTTGAAGAATCGGAATACGGCATGAAAAACGGATGTATTCTGAAATCTGTGTTTCGAGTGAAAATTGAGCAACTAGGGGAAATGCTACCAGTCAAATTCGGCTCTTTTGTTTTATCGGTCACTTGACCGCTGTCATTCAACTTTAACCAGCTGAAAGTTTTACTTCGGAACTGATACCCGTCGACTGTAGCATAAAATAGACAACGTTCCCACGAGCTTCTGAAGTGGTTTATGTTTTGCTCGTTAAAGGCAGCAAAGTTTTTGAACGGAGAATTGAAATGAAGAACTTCGGGGCTCTGCTGACACTTTGGGCAAAATTGAAAATTGTGGACGTGCACAGGCGTTTGGCAGTTAAACTCGCATGGCAAAATATAAAGCATCTCGGGATATGAAGCGAACACTAAAACAAGATTAAGGATAATTCAATTCAAATAAGAAAAAATGGTTACAAAAGGAGTTTTTAATCATTTAATTTTGTATCACTTTAATTAAAATTCACTTAAGATTCATTTAAGTTTTCAATGTCAGTTTTTCATATAAAAAAATTAGAATGGAGTTGAATATGTCCCAAAGGACAAATGTTTTCATGATGACATTTAACGTTTTCATGAACTTTTTCGTTACCCGTTAGCAATGATAGCGAAATTAAGCTGGCGGCTTTCAATGGAAAGTCTGAAAGTTTTTTTAGCTTGGTTGACCAGATTCATTACCAAGGCACCGTATAAGCATAATCAGAGGGGTTCAGCAGTGGTGCTAACCGTTAAAGCTTGATTCAATGAAATATCCATAGACCTCGTCAGGTAGAAAGAGACTAGTTATGCCCGACTATGAGTCCTTTCATTTACGAGGAAACTTCTGCTTAACCACAATGAGAGATACAGATGGTGCAATAGTTTATTGGCTCGTTTATCTAAATAAAATCATCATTTGATGCAACGAATTTGACTTAATGAGGGTCCATTTCTTCGCCCGATCCAAAACTGATGACACAGATTCGTTTTCCTGTTTCAAGCAGTGAACTGGTTCAATAAATGTCAACCAATCACACAACATTGAAAAAGTTGTAGAGCTTTAGTTAAGCTGACTTCAAACTCGTGAGGATACCAGTGGGCATCAGAACACAAAACAACTATCGAAGAGGAACTGTCCTGAAGCTGAGTGAGCGGAGGTAGTTTCAGGGAAAATTAAACACTACACGGGTCTTGTGGGTTTTTATTGCACCTTGTCGGGCAAACAAAGCAGTCAAATTACCTAATGAGAATTGGCTTGAAAATCAAACATACGAAAATTCTTCGAACTCGTACAGGATCAACTGGTGATAATGAGTTTTGATCAATGAGCAGTAGTGCGCAGTGTTCATGTAGCAGATAACCGACAACCGAAACACCTCACCTGTAAATTAGTTAGACTAATGAAAAAACTTTTTTTGTTTTGAAATTCAGAGAATGTAAGGATTATTTATATTTGACATCATTTTGTTCAGGGTCGTTTCTGAAAGAAAGATACAGAGTGGGCTATAAAATGTTTAATAAAAAGCTATGGATGAAGCTGGACTCTACGTATTCACAAACGGGTGGATTAGTTCCAATCATTATTGCGCTCTGATCCTAAGTACACTACTCGTTTCAAAAATTGACAATGTTTTTGAAAAGTGTGAAAAGTTTTTCTCTTGCTCTCATAAATGCTTCAAACCTCAAAAAAATTAATTGAATCTAATATTGCCCTAATCAACTGGGCTCAAAATTGAAATTTTTTCTGATGTTATTGGTTTTACTAAACCGTTTTATTATACAACTTCCTTGTATAAAAAATTTCTAGTAATACAATTCTAAAAAACAGAAATCTGTATGAAAACTCTATGATAAGCATTTTTCAAAGCGTAAAAACTGTACAATAGGATTTTTCTAACAAATCAAGTGATTCAAGTAGTTTTTGGATAACAAAACTCACAGGTCTAAAGTTCATTAGTAAAAAACTTTAATTATGCCTTCGAAACTCTCATAACAAAATGTTTATATCAGGTTAAACAACTCCGGGAAAAAAATTGTTATTAAGAAGAAGCTAAACCTTTTTATATCCGAAGAGAAGTTTTACTTCAAAAAAATCTGTAATGGAAATTCAAGGCTTGTTTTATTGAGTTTTTAAGTTTATCATACCATGCGAAAACGTGAACTAATATTATTGGTTTAACACAAAAGTTCTTTTAATTTTTTTCTTCATTTTTGAAAAACTTTTTCATCGGAAAAACGTTGGACACTTTTTTTCAATTTTTTCCAAAATGCTTTAATTGAGCGTAAGATAAATTTTCCGACTAAACAACATATAAATAAGGCAGATATAGAAATTGAAAAATTGGCATTTTTGACGATATATCAAAATTTTCTCAACTAATAAATTCTAGGTTAAAATAGTTTGAAATTGAAAAAAAAACGTCAACATTTTGATGTGATTTGTAAACTAATTGCGTATGGATGCTAGAAGCTTGAGTTTCTCTCTACTTTCAAAAACAGATATTGCACCTTGATGCCAAAATTTTTCAACATTGTTTTTCCAAGTAGTAAAACCCACAGGCTGATATTCAATGGTAAAATTTTGTGTTACACCTTCGAAGCCTTCACAGCTATTATAATAAAATCGTTTATACCAGACAAAAATACTTTTATAAAAAATTTATTTTTTTCAAAAATAATTCAGTTTTTTTTTCTAAGGCAAGATAACTGAAGTTTCTTCTTCTATATTCAGACAAAAACTATTATATTGAGTTGAAACAAAAAAATAATATTTTTTTTTCATTTTTGACAAGTTTTATCTGCACTTCGTTATAAACAAAATTTTTAATTTTTAATTGCAATTTTTTTCCAAACATAATTGTTCACGCAATAAAACTGGTTAACAAGTAAAGAGAAAAAATGCTTATCATACAACTCAACAAAAAAAACAGCTGAAATTTTTTGCAACAAATAAAACTTTTTAACGTTTTTGAGTGACATCTGAAAATGTTTGCCTTTGGAAACATGCTTATCCCACTACTTTCAAAAAGGAAAATATTATTATGCTATCTATTTTATATTATGCAATTTTTGGCCAAACGAAAACACGAAAAAAAAATTAAAAAAGCGTTGGAAAAAATTACGAAAGGTTTTTAAATTTTATGACGATTTTTCATAAACAAAGCTATGGCAATATGTGATCAGCGCTTTTTTTGTAAGGAGATCAACGCGGATAGACAGTCTAAAATTTAGAGCTTATGAAATATTTCTTGATAAACGAGCTGTACTTTTTGATTGAAAAATTGAGGAGTGCAAGTTTGATTCAAGGAGCGTCGGTATGATATCACTCGATCCGCATCAACATTTCTTTGAGGTACTGAAAAAGTAACAAAAAAATATATCATTGGCTGCAATTTTTGGTCTGTGCAGTAATTGGAACAAAAGCAGTCACTCGGCAGGCACCTGAAAGGTCTCATTGCGAGGCCAAACTGTGCATTCTCTGCATTGTAAGCGGAATCTGCAACAGGCCACAATCAGATTTGTCGCGGAATCCGCAACATTGCTTCTTTCTTTGATCTTCTGTGCTGTTTTGGAATCCACTAACAAATTCCTAAATCATTGTACCGCTCAACATTGCTCCAAAAATTGGCGAATTTGCGGAATCCGCAACTGTATTTGCTGAATCCAGAACAGTTTGTGGAATCAACAAACAAATGATAAGACATTTGTATCGTTAAACTGAGCTGTTGCGGAATCCGCAACTGTAAGTGGAATCCGCAAATTGTAAGTGGAATCCGCAAATTGTAAGTGGAATCCGCAAATTGTAAGTGGAATCCGCAAATTGTAAGTGGAATCCGCAAAGTGTAAGTGGAATCCGCAAAGTGTAAGGGGAATCCACTTACAATTGCGGATTCCACTTACATTTTGCGAATTCAACTTACATTTTGCGGAATCTACTTACAGTTGCGGAATCCAGAACAACTAGCTATATTTGCTTGTTGCGGAATCCGCAACAAAACAAATGTGCCGACAAAATTTACGTTACAGATATATGTATGCGGAATCCACTGAAATTTTGTTTGTGGAATTCACTTACATTTTGGAACATATTTTAAGACTTGCCTCTGGAATCCAAGAACATACAGACACAAAATTGTGCTCCTATCCAGTGCACAGTTTGGCCTCGTAATGCTTGATTTAAAAGGTGTGAATGGAGAGGAGACTGTTAAATTTTTAGAGAGTTGCTATTTAGCAGCCAAAAAGAGACATTTCTAACAGAGAGGTTGAAAGCGTAAGATAAAAGATAATAAAACACTTTTTTGGTAGTGATCAACTATCGAATCTCCGCAAATTCAATTACAAATTGATTGAAACTGCCGTAGAAAAGAGATCAAATGGTAGAAGAGGAAGAGTTGAAAAAAACTTCATCCGATCACTTTGATTTATTTTTCAAATTTCTTCCAACGTTGTAAATCTAGATTAACAATTTTAATAATCAAAACAGGAGAAGACGGTTAAAATAATTGAAAAACCAGTCCTATTTGTCCTGCCCGTTTGTACTCACAGCAAGTCTCAGCGCTGAGTCAGAGTAATCGCATAGCTTAACATCGCTGATCAGGCTCTCTTCGGTGCCATTCTAATTCAGATCAGTACTCATAGCATACGATTACCATTCAAATCAGGTATGATTTAGCGATGAAACAAAACTAAAAAAAAATGGCTGATCCAGCAATGATTCGGCACTGATATGCTCAATAAATTGGCGATGAATCAGACACTTTTTAGCAAAAAAAATTCTGCTATGTCTTTTAAGAATATTGTATTTTAAGAGCTCTTTTGGTAAGAAGAAGTAAAATTTAAGAGTAATCTCAAAAATTCAATATTTTTGATTTTTTTCCAAATCCACGAAATAATTCAAAGCTACTTAAGAAATTTCGTTACAATGTTCTCCTATAGCAACTATTCTTATTCATTAGTTCCTGTCAACTATCATCACGTTAAAAGCAAAAACGTTACAGGCGCATGAGTACGAACAAAATTTGCACGTTCCGGCGCTAATTCATTGATGAATTTTCTCTGAAACCTCTAAGTGGTTCATGTTTCACTGTTTCAATGCTTGAGGCTGAAATTTTCTCTGAAATTGTTAGCTTATGGTTGATTGAAAATGTCGTAGAAAAAATAATATGAATGGCGAATGAAACTCCTTAAAAAAGTAATTGCAAATTTGAGTAATCGCAAATTTGATATGAGATGACTCAAAGCTTTTCTGAATCACAGCAAACTCACAGCAAACTCACAGCAAACCTCCGCGATGTATCTATGTATTAGCATAGATTAGCATTGCTCTCATCGGTGCTTTCATCCGTACCATCATAACGCAGATCATCAGTGATCCAGAGCTGCAAGGACCATTGAACTCAGCGATGAATCATCAAAAAGCTTATGGTTGAACTTTTTGACTTTTTCACATTTAAAGAAGACACCAGCGCAAGGAAAGTGTTGGTCGTACAAATACTCTCATGATTTTATAATGCCAGTTCAATCTTTCTAAAGTTTTCTTTGAAAGTTCGTTAAAATCTATTTGAGAAAAGCATATTGTAGTTTCCCCAATTTAGTGATTTTATAATAATTTCCTTTTGGTTAAGCATCATCACATTAAAAACAATTATTTAAAAAATAGTGGTATATTTTTAACTCATCGCTGACATAACTTTAGTTTTCAACGCTGATTACTTGATGAAACGATGCTAATTGATGGCTCAAAAATGCGTCGAGGAAACAACACTTACTCGCAGCTGAAACATTTATAAAATGAAAAATAGTACAACTTAGCGGCGATAATCTGGTCAGCAAAATTTTGCATTAAAATCACTGAAAATATACATCGGCAAGCCTTCTAAAAAATCTACTGCTGGAGCTGTAAACTAGTCTGCACAGCAAAAATGCCGAGAATTAATGTGAAAGATTATTTTAAAAATTGAGTTAGACATCAATTCAAAGAATCTTACTGAAGACCTTAATTTTTTCCTCTCGTGAAGTGATCAGAACTATAAAAAACCAGCGAGCTGTAAAAAGATTCAATGGGACGGCTGCGCCTTAAAATTTGAAGCAAGCCTAGGGCACAGTAGCTTACAGATAAAGGAATGCGAAAAGGTAGCTGCTTGAACACTTTTATTGGCTTACATGAAATGAACCCATGTTTATTTACAGCTATTTTCAATTGAGGAATCCTCAGTAGTTGACAGTTATGACAGACAGATTTTTAATAAGTTTAATTCAAAAACGATGCCTCTTTTTTCATTTGATTGGGCAGATAATTCATGCCACTTTCTTTTGAAAGCAATCACTCAAGCTGCCCTTTTATTGATTGCAGAAATTTAATAATCTCAACATTTCATCAATACAAGTTTTGGGTATTTTTGAGACGTTTTAACTAGGAATCACATGTTTGAGCGTGTACTTATTGTATTCTAAGGTTTGATCCGCACTCAAATTGTTCACATTTTTTGGTTGGTAAAAAAGGATATAATAAATAAATAGTTCCTTTGGGACGTGAAAGAGTCAAAAATATAAGGTGAACTGATTTCTTCAGCATTAAATCTGCTACTGGTTAATTTTTCCAACTATAATAGAGGTGGGGTGTGTTTAGAGGGATGTGTTAGGGGTGGTCTCGAAAAAATAAGCTGGCGATTGTGAACCTGCATTGAATATATCTTGGTCTGCTGTTTTCACAGATGACCTTTCACTCAGCTCCGATGCCACAACTGAAGTCCACCTTGACCTCCAAAGTGAACTGTTTAGTCTGTCCAGAAGTACCAAAATGACACCTGAGTTTACTCCCCTCCCTCTCGCAGTCCAATTATTGTCACCTTTGATATAGTAGTTGCTCTGATTTTCCGTCATCCCTAAAAATCCAGACAGTTTTTTAAATTAGTTTTTCTAACAGTGATGGAAAAATTACTCTATACCAAAGTAGCTCTATACCAATTACTCTATACTCTCAAACTTATTTCGAAAAAGTTGAAATCTACTTCAAGCAAATAACTTTGGGTTTTGAAGTCTATAAAATCTATAAAAATGAAAAAAAAATTATGAAAATTTGAAATTTCTTTGGAAAGTTATCAAAAAACAGGGTGTATAAATAAGCAGTAGCTGTATAAATTTTTAGTAGGAAAAAGAAAATTTTTGTGAAAAAAACTAATTGAAAAAACCATTCAATTTTGATTTTGATAGCAATCTCAAAAATTGAAATACTTGTCTCCGACAAGAGTAGCTGGTTGCTATGAGTTATGAGAAAATTCCGACCACAATCACTAGAAAAAAAATCTTATCTTTTTTTTAAGTGTCGTTGTAGATCGTGATGCGATGAAAGGACCTAAACTGAACCCTTGAACTTGGGTATACTCAAAAGTAATATGGCGTATTGGAAAACAGTTATCTTGAAATGAATAGAAAAACGAAAAAAAAATTCAAAAAATTGCAGGAAAATTTTCTACTCTTTTAATTGATATATCATTCGGCCAATCGATTTTTATTTATGCTGCATGATTTTGCGCAAAAAAATTACGAAGAAAAAACATAAAAACATCACTACTAAAACACATCCGAAAACAATATTCCTCCCGCGTTCATTGGTGGGAATAACAAAAAATATCTTTGCAAAATTGAGCCAAACAATTTAACTACGAAAACTACAAAAAATCACAAAAACCTTGCTCATGACATAATAAAATACATTTTTGGGGAAAACTTTACCGACATACAGCTTACTGCTCGTTATACAAAACAATTAGTTAGCAAAACAATTTGTTAAGAATTTTAGTTGTTACAGCTTATTCGCAGGCTATTGAACCTATTTGCAGGTAAATACAAAAAGTACCCGTACCCAGGGAAAGCTGTTTTTCTAGATATAAACGTTAAATAAATTACCTGGCCAATTTTTTTGTATTTTCTGTACAGAAAAGATCTGGTTCTTTCTGAGTTTAGAAATAACCATTTTCTGGAAAGAAATAACCACATTCAGTTAGCTCCTCAACCGCAACTCCAAGATAAACATACTTGGATGATAAACCAAAGTCGTAGCAATACAATGCCAAAAAAAACACTGGTTATAATAAGTGTTGCTTTGCATTAGATTGCTAAAACTATTCAATAGCATGTAGGTCTAGTGGACTAGCGGTTAGCACAGCGGGCTATGAATGCGGAGGTCGGGAGTATGAGCCCAAGTCGTAGATTTTTTCTAGCTAGAAGTAGCCTAGATTTAGCTAACTTCTGATCAAAAATAAGACAAGAAATAAAGAATTTTAAGAAATTCCCTGCTGTATTTAAACATTTCACGAAGAATTTCGGACCAGAAAATCAGTTTAGATATAAAGTATTCCAGGTCAGAATTTTTTTTTCGGTATGGGTATTCAGCAATGACTCAATGCTGGAATATTTATCGTAGCACTCATATTTCAACCGATTATGATTAACATTACGCTGATCATACTTTCAATCAAGTGTGGCAAATTCTCATTTTGTAAACAGTGATGAATGCTAGTGAGAGTTTAGCCTCAATGATAATTGAATATTTTTCGTTAATCGGAAGTAAAAGGAGCTACAATTCAATGTATAGTTCAATTGAATGCAAACAATCCATTGACTTAATTATCCGAACTATTTTCAAGATCAATTTTAAAGTTATTCTGCTATCATATATTAGCTGACCTTTATATTTTTCTTCCGAACTTATCCCTGCTCTAGTTTTTTTTTTTCAGATAAATTGTTTTGTAAACGATATCTAATTACTTTTCATAGAAATTTGTTAAGAAAATAAGAGTTATTCATTAAAATGTACTGATACAAATCGGAATCGTATGGGGGAACAGCATTAATACAGCACGGCCCGTTTTCAGGTGTCTCAATACGTGGAGAACAAAAAAAAGAACTAACTTCATAGATCTAATGGATCGTTGTACTCGTAAACATTTTTTACACGTAAACCTCTTTATACTCTCTTTTCACTTTTCTAAATATAAAATATTTTTTTTGTTTGCTCGGGTAGCCTTATCTATCCAGTAGCTAGAATGCTACAAAAACAACTTATCAGAAAACAACTCATGTAAGACAACAATTTGAAACATTATCAAGAATTTTTTGAAATTTAGGTGTGATTGACACTCTGTTGAGTTTATTCATATTTATAGCTAGAAATTGATTTTACTTTTTCTTTGTATGTTTTGCGTTCAACTCTTGTTCAGTTATGACATATCTCACTGTATCAGCTTTTCATTCTTGTCGCATAATTTTCCTGGTCAACTTCAAAACTTTGAACGCAAAATTTTTCTTACGATATATATTAAATTTTCATGCATTAATTTAGTAATTGGATCCATCCTACGCTTATAAAAATTCTTATGTTTAGATTTCCTTTTTTTTTTCCAGTACTAACAATTAGGTTTTGGTTGGTGCTTGCATAAACTAAAACTCCATATTGGATGATTGGTGCTCTCTTATCCTAAACCGTGAATGTTTTGAGCTCAAAAATAGGATTAAACGACACCTTATAGTTGACTCGGGAACATTTTCTCATTCTGGTAAGCATTCTGCGTTAGGTAAATTAATCTTCGTAAATAATCGAAGCATTTTGAACATGTATTCATTTTTTTCTGAAAACATCTAGGCATTTTCATCACTGCTAGTTGAAATAGTTTGAACGGCTGTTGGATCAGTCAGGATTTGCATCAACTCAATAATGAAAAAAATATATTGAGAAGTATTTTTCAGATTTGCATCAAACTAGTTCTCACAAATCAAATTTTCTGGAAAAGTGAGGATGCGTAACGAAAAAAGTATGAGATATAAAAAAAGGTTAATTTCATTGACTCGAGAAAAAACATTGAGCGATATCATAGAAATATTAAACAGCAAGTTTGATATCTAAAACATAATAAAACATGAGGAAAGATTTAACAAAAAAGTGGTGCTTTAATCTATGCTTACTGAACTTTCTTTGTTGAGATCACCGAATCAGATACTTTTATCTAATTGAAGTTTAACCTAATAAATAAGAAAGTTTACATGGCATTTGAACAGCTACATTTTATTCAATTTGAAGTGCAGACTTTTTTCCGGAAAAACAAACAGATTGACTGGAGACATATCAGCCAATAACCATAGTCACAATAATTTTTATTCAAAATATCGAGTACAAACGGCATTGGCAGGTAGCGAACGCTTGCTACGCTGCGCTTACTTTCGATAGTAGAGATATAGTGCGCAAGAATCAGCTTTTGTTTTACTAGTATAGGTTGTTTCGAATGTCTAGAACTGAAATTGGCTGTAATTTCCTTAATTAAAATTGACTGAAACATCTGGTGTATTCTTACTGAAGGGCCTCAATATAAAAATGTCCGAAATGTCTGCGTCTATTAAAGATGTTTAACGGCATGTCAAAAACGAAGAAGTACGTCTGGTTATTGACTTGAAACTTCAACAAAAATGCTCGCTCGTGTCAAGACAAAGTCTAAATGTTTCGTTGCCTTTTTTTACTATATTTATAAAGTAGTGTTCGCTTTCCTAAAATTGCAAAGTATCTGTTTATAAATGATTGTAACGAAATAACAAGGACAACAAGCATACGTCAATTCAACTTGGATTGATTTTTAAGCCAAATTAAATCGCCACTTGCACGGTAATAATGCAAGTATATCACTGGTTATTTATCCCAATTTGACCAAACTGGCTATTTTAAAACTCTTTTAGTTTTGTGCAAAATGATCACCGGTGAAACATAGTTTTAGTTTTGAGCTCAAGAAATCAAAGAAATTAAGTATCCCGTCAAAAATGGCTATTTAAAAGGTCGAAAGTTGTCTGGAAAAACCACCCCGAGCACGAATATTCCGCTATTTCATACGGAAATCGGAACAACCATAAATCATTACCAACTCAAAAATATCAGCACTCAATCAAAACTCAGTTCAAATCTGGCGAACCTAAGTTAGTTAAAGTACTTTGGGTGCATGTTAATAAAATCCTTGCTGGATCATTGTAACTTTTGTAGGCTTAGGATAAAAAGAAAATACATGAACCATGAAATTATTTCATTACTTGCCAATTATAAAGATCTAACCGCACGTCAGAATGAAAATAGCCGTGGTCAGTAACGTCAATAGTTTTTATCCTTTTGTAAGACAAAAATAAATAAAACTGGAGTTAAGCGGGAAAATTTATATTTTAATCACAAATAAATCCAATGTAAATAGCCCCAAGAGACCAGCGAATTTCGATCGACAAGATAAGCTATAAAGAAAGGGAGCAAACTCAGATTTTATAGCAATGCAACTCCCAACCGATAATGGGTTGTTTGTCTGATGAAATAAACTCAACGATTTAAGTCCCTCTAAACTTGATTCTGATCCCTATCGATTGAATTTTCATTGCTATTTTTTGCTTTGAGTCAAAGAGTAAGTTTTTAAAAATCACCGATCGTTACAGGGGCGGATCTAGGATTTTATCGGGGGGATGTTCGAAAAATTGTCTACCTTTCTTTAGGTCGAGCAAATCATCTTTCCGAACACTCTCAGAACGCTATAAAGTACCTATATGCCTATTTTGCGCCGTAGGCAATTTTTTTTACATTTCTACAAAAAACACGACAAAAATGTTTTTTTTTGGAGCACGCTTGCCTTCAAAAATTGTATACTTTGGCGCCAAAGGCGCCTTTAGAAAAATTTTAGGGTCAGTTGGCCTAAAATGGATGTCATGAAATAATAACAATCGGGACCAATTGTTTTTGCAAATGTTCAGTGTTTACTATCGGCAAAACTAGAACCCGAACTAACAAAAAGGTATGTTGCGACCATTGCGACTCAAAATATGCATGCTGCAACTTTGTGCAACCGAAGTAGTTTGCACGACTTTG